AAATAGAATTTATAAAATGCTAGATTTTTTTTTAATTTTGCTTTAGGTGTATATTATATCCATCCTTTCTCCTCATGTTATTCCACCCACCCCCCTCTGTCCTTCCCCTGCCCCCCAACAACTGCCCTCAGTGTGTGATGCTCCTCTCCCTGAGTCCACATGTTCTCATTGTTCAACACCCACCTATGAGTGAGAACAGGCAGTGTTTCGTTTTCTGTTCTAGTGTCAGTTTACTGAGAATGATGGCTTCCAGAGGCATCCAAGTCCCTACAAAGGACACGAACTCATCGTTTTTTATGGCTGCATAGTGTTCCATGGTGTATATGTACCACATTTTCCCTGTCCATTCTATCATTGATAGGCATTTGGGTTGGTTCCAGGTCTTTACTATTGTAAACAGGGCTGCAATGAACATAAGTGTGCATGTGTCTTTATAGTAGAATGATTTATACTTCTTTGTGTATATATCCAGTAATGGGATTGCTGGGACAAATGGAATTTATATTTCTAGATCCTTGAGAAATCACCACACTGTCTTCCACAATGGTTGAACTAATTTACCCTCTCACCAACTGTGTAGGAGTGTTCCTATTTCTCCACATCCTCTCTAGCATTCGTTGTCTCCAGATTTTTTAATGATTGCCATTCTAACTGGCATGAGATGGTATCTCAATGTGGTTTTGCATCTCTCTAATGACCAGTGATGATGAGCATTTTTTCATGTTTGTTGGCCTCATATATATATGAACATGACTCCTTTCAAAAGTGTCTGTTCATATCCTTCACCCACTTTTGAATGGGGTTGTTTGTTTTTTTTTCTTGTAAATCTGTTTTAGTTATTTGTAGATTCTGGATATTAGCCCGTTGTCAGATGGGTAGATTGCAAAACTTTTTTCCCATTCTGTTGGTTGCTGGTTTGCTCTAATGATGGTTTCTTTTGCTGTACAGAAGCTCTGAATTATAATTAGATCCCATTTGTCTATTTTGGCTTTTGTTGCCATTGCTTTTCATGTTTTAGTCATGAAGTCCTTGCCTATGCCTATGTCCTGGATGGTTTTGCCTATGTTTTCTTCTAATGTTTTTATGGTGTTAGGTCTTATGATTAAATCTTTGATCCATCTGGAGTTAATTTTAGTGGAAGGTGACAGGAAGGGGTCCAGTTTCTGCTTTATGCACATTGCTAGCCAGTTTTCCCAACACCATTTATTAAACATGGAGTCCTTTCCCCATTGTTGTTTTTGTGAGGTTTGTCAAAGATCAGATGGTTGTAGATGTGTGGTGTTGCTTATGGGGCCTCCATTCTGTTCCTATATCTCTGTTTTGGTACCAGTACCTTGCTGTTTTGATTACTGTAGCCTTGTAGTATAGTTTGAAGTCCAGCAGTTTGATGCCTCTGTCTTTGTTCTTTTTCCTTAGGATTGTCTTGGCTATGCAGGCTCTCTTGTGATTCCATATGAAGTTTAAAGTGGTTTTTTCCAGTTTTGTGAAGGAGGCCATTGGTAGCTTGATGAGGCTAGCATTGAATCTATAGATTACTTTGGGCAGTATGGCCATTTTCACGATATTAATTCTTCCTAACCATGAACATGGAATGTTTTTCCATCTGTCTGTGTCCTCTCTTATTTCCTTGAGCAGTGGTTTGTAGCTCTCCTTGAAGAGGTCCTTTACATCCTTTGTTAGTTGTATTCCTAGGTATTTTATTCTCTTTGTAGCTAGCAATTGTGAATGGCAGTTTGTTCTTGATTTGGCTCTCTTTAAGTCTGTTATTGGTGTATAGGAATGCTTGTGATTTCTGCACATTGATTTTGTATCCTGAGACTTTGCTGAAGTTGCTTATCAGTTTGAGAAAATTTTGGGCTGAGATGATGGGGTCTTCTATATATACAGTCATGTCATCTGCAAATAGAGATAGTTTGACTTCCTCCTTTCCTAAGTGAATACCCTTCATTTCTTTTTCTTGCCTGATTGCTCTAGCTAGAACTTGCAATAGTATATTGAGTATTGAGGAGTGGTGAGAGAGGGCATCCTTGTCTAGTGCCCAATTTCAAAGTGAATTCTTCCAGCTTTTGCCTGTTTAGTATAATATTTGCTGTAGGTTTGTCATAAATGGCTTTTATTATTTTATGATACATTCCATCGATACCTAGTTTATTGAGAGTTTTTAGCATGAAGGGCTGTTGAATTTTGTCAAAGCTCTTCTCTGCATCTATTGAGATAATCATGTGGTTTTTGTCTTTGGTTCCATTTATGTGATGGATTACATTTAATGATTTGCATACGTTGAACCAGCCTTGCATCTCCGCATGAAGCCTACTTGATTCTGATGGATAAGCTTTTTGATGTGCTGTTGCAATCAGTTTGCCAGTATTTTATTGAAGATTTTTGCATCAATGTTCATCATGGATATTGGCCTGAAGTTTTCTTTTTTAGTTGAGTCTCTGTCTGGTTTTGATATCAGGATGATGTTGGTCTCATAAAATGAGTTAGAGAGGATTCCCTCCTTTTGTATTGTTTGATACAGTTTTAGAAAGAATGGAACCAGCCCCTCTTTATACATCTGGTAGAATTCTGCTGTGAACCCGTGTGGACCTGGACTTTTTTTAGTTGGTAGGCTATTGAATGCTGCCTCTACTTCAGCCTTTGTTATTGGTCTATTCAGGGTTTCAACCTCCTTTTGGTTTAGTCTTGGTAGAGTACAAGTGTCCAGGAATTTATCCATTTCTTCCTGGTTTACTGGTTTATGTGCATAGAGCTGTTTGTAGTAATCTCTGATGGTAATTTGTATTTCTGGGGGATCAGTGGTGATGTCCCCTTTATCTTTTTTTATTGCATCTATTTGATTCTTCTCTCTTTTCTTTTTATTAGTCTGGCTAGCAGTCTGTATTTTGTTGATCTTTTCAAAAAAACAGGTCCTGGATTTATTGATTTTTTGAAGGGTTTTTTTGTGTCTCTATCTCCTTCAGTTCGGCTCTGATCTTAGTTATTTCTTGTCTTCTGCTAGCTGTTGAGTTTCTTTGATATTCCTTCTCTAGCTCTTTCAATTTTGACGATAGGTTGTCAATTTTAGATCTTTCCTTGTTTCTCTTGTGGGCATTTATTGCTATGAATTTCCCTCTTGACACTGCTTTGAAGGTGTCCCAGAGATTCTGGTAAGTTGTGTCTTCATTCTGATTGGTTTCGAAGAACATCTTTATTTCTGCCTTCATTTCATTGTTTATCCATTTGACACTCAGAAGCAAGTTGTTCAGTTTCCAAGTGTTTGTGCGGATTTGAGTGTGTTTCTTAATCCTGAGTTCTAGTTTGATTGTGCTGTGGTCTGATAGACTGTTTGCTATGATTTCTGTTACTTTGCATTTGCTGAGGACTGATTTGCTTCCAGTGATGTGGTCAATTTTAGAGTAAGTGCAATGTAGGGCTGAAAAAAATGTATAATCTGTGGATTTGGGGTGGAGCATTCTGTATATGTCTATTTTTTTAATTCCTTTCTATGCCCTGCTAAGTTAATTTGAACAATGCTATTAAACATTTTAGATCTTTCCTTGTTTCTCTTGTGGGCATATTAAACATGCTTTGCAACTTCAGAAACACACAATTTGTTGCAAATTATCATTTATGACACTTAATGGTAGCATTTTAAATCACTCCTGGTAATTCGCTGTCTAGAAAGCTATTGTATGCCTTTATCAAGTAGAGGCTGAAAACTGATTTACTTCTATAAACATCATGAAAGAGATGACTTTCTAATTGTCTTTAAGCTCATCTGAGTTAAATATTTTTGAACCCACATTAACAGAAAAGAAACCCATCTTTACAAAAACAAGGTAAACTACAGATTATAAAATATACATGTTCAAAGAATTTTGAGTGAAAATTAAAATTTTCAACAGGGAGCAAAATTTGTCCCTTAGGAAATATCTGAAGATGTCTGGAGATACTTTTGGTTGTCACAAATCTATCTGTGGAGTGTAAAATATTCCAGAAGTGTGTCAGAGCACTACTGGAATCCAGTGGGTAGAAGATAAGACACTGCTCAACATCCTATAGAGTACAGGCCAGCCACATACAAAAGAAGTATAGCCTCAAATATCAATAGTGCCAACGTTGAGACATCTAAGTTTTATATAGACTTAGAACTCTGAAAAATTTTGTCTGATTATATAAGCAGCTCAGGGTGGCATGATCAGGGTATCTCAAAGGTACATGAATTCTTTCATGCCACTAGACTGTTTCAAAATATTATGAGCAGGTATTATTATGATTCAACATGAAAAATAACTGAGTAGAGTTAAACCTAATTATATCCTTTCAAATGGGGACTGTTACAATCACTGGGAAACACTGGCCTAGAAATGTTACATTTTTTTGAAAACGAACATCTGCATTTTAAAAGGAAGTTTCTCAAATAGTTGCATAAAGAGGAGAAATAGAAAAAATTATTTTATTCTTTTTACTGAATTCATATAGAGATTAAAAGCGATCAACATTAATATGGGATTCAAATAAAATTTACTGTTTAATTTTTTGCCATGAATATTTTCAAATAGCTTAGTTTCCTATGTGTGTTATTTGTGTTTTTCTGAAATCTCAATGTCATAACTTATTACATTTTTTACCATGTATAATAATGAAAAATTTCTATAGATTGATTTTTTTTTAATTGGGAGTACTTGAATATAAAATTTCAGGGAGTATTTTCAATACAGCCTATGCCTTCCAGAAATTCTGTTTATCAGTCAGAATGACTTGAGATGTATCCAAATACTGGGTTGTGATTTTTTTCTTCTGCCAATTTAGATATTTAAAAATTATCTAGGTATAATAAGAAAGAATTTTGAAGACTTATATTAGTTACTACTATAGTTACACAATAAAATTGTTGACTGGCTGATGGGGGGGTATGTGAGTAGATTAGAGTTTTAGTCTGCTACTTGGTTATGCATTGATGGAAGTATTTTTGGACACTGCAAGAGAGGTAAATTGTTCGTTCTTTGACTTTTTAGCTAAGAATGAAACCTTGGCATTACCTGCCGAATCTAAAACACCAGAGGTTGAAAAAATCCCAGCACGGCCCACAACAGGTAATGAGATTGCTGTGTTGTTGACCTTGAGAAAAGAAAGAATGCTTTTTTTAAAATACTAATCTGCAGCTGTATTTTTCAGTAAAGAGCTAGTAGGAAATTCATTTTGATCATAAATGCCAAACAGTAGGAGATTTCATGTCTTTAACATTTGGGAAGATAACAGATGCAAAATGAACTATTGAATCACATAATTGATGTGTAATACAGAAGCTGTATTTTTTACTCTAAATGAAAATTATTAGCTCAACACTGACATATTTTTATATTAAAATATCATACCACAAGTTTGGTGCTTTTCTTTTTTGTATGATAACCGCTTTTCATTTCTATACTTTCACAAGTGGTCACTGTAGCAAAATGCCATATATTCTTCACAAATCCATAGCTTAATATCTATGAAAATACCCTGAAATTATTTAGAACGTCCCTGGAACTTTAGCAATGCTAGTGTAGAGAACATAGAATAGTTTGGTAGCAATCCTTTAAAGAATTAATGCAGTGAGTGTTTTCTCCATAGTTTATCATCATTACTAACAAACATTGAGCATTTCTTCTATGAATGAACTACTCAAGTCCAGTCCATGAGGGAAGCATTAATCTTTGAGCTAGAGTTTTCACCAGCGTAGTCCCACCTTATCCAGGACTTGATGAAAGAGACATCTGGCAGGAATTTCCCACAATCTATATTTCACAAAGTAACTTTAATGAAGTGAATTTTCTAGTCCGTAAATTCTTATAACTTGCAATATTGATGATATGTACCAATTACTAGACTTTTGGACTTGGAACTGGTCCAGAGATGATAAAAGTTGTTGTGGCAGTAAAATAACTTCAAGAAATCCATTCAAGTAAGAATATGCCTGAGAGAGCAAGATGAATATGGTCCTTTTCTAAAGAAGAGAGATAGGTGGACCTTCCATCCCCACCTTCATGGGAGTTGGAGCAGAGGTAGCTACTGGGGTGACACGACCCATTTGGATGAAATTTCTGGATGGTTTCTGACTTGAGTATATATGATCAATATCCAGAAAAGCATAGGCATGATCCAGTGAGTGACTCCACATCCCTTTCTCCCTCAGAGATTCTACCCACTTTCTTTTCTTGGCAGCATTTCTCATGGGAGAGTCTTAGTTCTCTGCCAGACCCTCCTCAGAGTTTTCCACTTCAGAAACACTTAGAAAAACACTACAACTTATTAATCAGGGTTATTGTGTTTATTTTGTGTTCTTGCCCTACAACATTCTGGGGGTTTCTGACTCTCAATTCATTTTGGATCTCAGTGATCTTAGTTCTTACTTCACCAAAACTCTTGCTTGAGCCTCCCATTATCTTTAATCTCGCATTTGGGACAAACCTGTGACTGAGCATTTAAATTCTGATCATAATTTCAATTCATTTTCAAGCTTTGCATGTTAAATGCAGTACAAGAGAGAAGTCTTATAATGCGATAGCTCTAAGCAACACTTTTATCCTCGAGTCATCCTTTTATTTGCCCATTTATTCATTTAATAAACTATTATCTTGATTATCTTTCAGATTCCTCAAGGAATGATTAAAAAAATAATAAACTATTACGTGCCTGTTAATGTATCCCAGGTGTTGTGCTACGCCTTGGAGATAAAGAAAAAGGCAGATTTAAAATTATGATTAAGCTGGTGAGTGCTTCAGAGAAAGTCAGGTCAGAGCACATTTTTGGATAGAAGGCAAACCCAGGAAGGAAGAGTGGAGAGAAGTGTCAGCTCAGGCACTCGAGACAAGCCACGGAGCTCTTTACATAAGTAGCACAAAAACAAATGGGCTGTACAAATACCAGTTACGAATTCTAAAAGGCAACAAAATATGTCTCCTGGTCTTTGGTTGCTTCACTTTATCTTAATTTGTAAAGTTGTGTTTTTTGCCTTTCAGTGACTCCCGAAACAGTTCCAAGAACCGCTAAACCCACTATGCCTAGTGCATTAGATATTTCAGAAACAACACCGGGTAATTCTGAGAACTTTTCTTCCTTAAAAAAATAAAAACGTAACAAAATAACTCCCAGGACTCACAGAAAAGAAAGCGGATGCCTTAACTTCCCTCTCCCTCCCCACTTACTCCTTTTCCTTCCTGGCAGTGGTTAACCTTCCTATTTCTTGGACGGATTCCACTAAAGAGTTAACCACATGCCTGATCCTGGTGTCTGACCCTCTGGACAACTCTCGATGCTAGTTGCTAACTGCACAACCTTTCAACCAGTCTCTGGGTTATATAGACAGAATACCAGCCTTTTAACCCCCAAATCTTGGGGAAGGGTGAAGGAAACCTGGAAGTCTTGACTCTGTGCTTTCTGCTTAGATTGGCTCTGGGAAGTCTTGTGCATACTGCACTTAGGGAGAATCCTCAAAAGTGTCATGCTTTTACATAAGAATTTCATGTCACCCGTGTTTGTTGCTTCTTGGCCTAAGAGAATCTCACCTGCTTTGTTGTTCTCTTTCCCTGAAGAAAAGGAGCATCGCGTGTTTTGTTCTATAATTTGATGTTGACCTTCTCTGCCACACCACAGCCCTTTGAATGTATACCTTCACATTTTAACAGCTGTGTAACTTTTCCAGGGAAAGTCATTATTTCCATTAAAGGTATTGGCTGCTCTTTGTGCAACAGTCTGTTACAAAGCATGCTGTGTATGATCATGGTTAAGCGACAACATCAAATCTCAAGTCCAGGAGTTGCTAACTGCACTCTTTTTTATTGTAGTTCTCAGCAAAAGGACCCCGGAAACACTGCAAACTATTCTAATACCTCAGTTTGAATTGCCGCTGAGCACTCTAGGTAAAAATTAATAAATACCGCAGCTTTATTACTACCTTGGAAATTGTATGCATGCTTCAAAGAAGTCCTTTGAATGAATTATGCTAATTTATGCCCAATCCCTTAAAAGTGACACAGTCTTTAAGTTTAGGATCCCAAAGAGGCCCTCCCTATGACAAATCCTTTGGTTGGCTTGTTTTTCTTTTAAGTGGTCATATTTTAATATTATGTTTGATTCTTTTAATTCAGAATCAGTATGTCACCAAATTTATAATTTCTGTATTTTTTCTAAGTGTTTTTACTCTATTGTCTCTCTTGACAGAGAAGATATTTTTATGATATTTCCATAGACTGCTTCTCAGAATTCTTAGCATTTTTCTGAGTGAACTATGAAAATAAAATGAGGGCAGGGTGCAGTGGCTCATGCCTGTAATCCCAGCACTTTGGGAGGTTGAGAAGGATAGACTGAGGTCAGGAGTTCGAGACCACCCTGGCCAATATGGTGAAACCACATCTCTACTAAAAATACAAAAATTAGCCTGGCATGGTGGCACATGCCTGTAATGCCAGCTATTCAGGAGGCTGAGGCAGGAGAATCGTTTGAACCCAGGAGATGGAGGCTGCAGTGAGCCAAGATCGCACCACTGCACTTCAGTCGGGGTGACAGAGCGAGAGTCCATTTCAAAAAGAAAAAGGGAGGAGCTTACATACAAAGCCATGTGGTTACTGAAATTGTACTTTTAAAAGCTTTTAGATGGACATTTTCTAATTCAGATGTTTGCTTGGTTTAAATTTAAATGAAATACCTTTAAGAAAACACATTAAACGTAGCTGAAGAAATGAGGAAACTGGTTTAATAAGGGTGGAAAGAAGAGTCCAGATAGAGTAGCTTAAATTTAGTCACAACTATAAAAAATGAAAAAGAAACTTTATTATACCACTGAAACACAGCTGTAAGAAATACAACTAATGGTCTCAATGTGATTTGCCTATTTGTGTTTGTTTTTGTTTTTGCAAGCTTGAGATTTCTGTTACACCTCAGGTTATAACTTTGTTATGTTTTCTGTTACTTGCACCTCAGGTCATAACTTTCCTTGTGTGTTTCATTACAGCTCCAAAAAGGCTTCCAGAATTTCCTGAGGCAAAAACACCCTTCCCTTTTGAGAAACCTGGGGGCGCCTTGGGTAATAAGCATACCTTAAATTTAATATTAAGGCTGCGGGTCGTGATTGTGTAATTCTGCAGGACACATTTACTGCATCTTATCTCTGCAAATGTCATGAACTGATAGTTAAGTTAGACAAACAAGTGGTTGACTCGGTTTTTTAACAGTAAGTTCATTTGGATTTTCTGCAAATTCAGTCAAACTCATCAGTCTTAATTCCACATAACCCACTTAGCTCTTTGTCATTAAAAATGTTGACAATCTGACAATGCTGGTCTCTCTCTGACCACTAATCAAATATTCTCTGGATGGATTCATACTGATTTCTTACTGATATAGAATGACTTTTTATTGTATTGGTATATGGTTTTTTTTATTTGCAGGCTTTTGGTAGCCACTTAATCATACCAGCAACGTGTTTCTGTCCCTTTCTCCTCTTAAAAAAATCTTCAGCAAATTCCATTTCTTTTCTATATAGCTTCAAGTGAAAAGCCATGGGTTGTGCCTTCAGCTAAAACATCTGAGGATTCCAAAGTTCTGCAGCCTCAAACTGGTAATTAATCCTTTTTTAAAATATAGACTATAACAAAAATATTCAGGAACACTGTTTTCATTTTTATAGGTTCCTTAATTATCCATATGCTTTGTAATAAATGGAAACCCCATCATACATTTGTTGATACTGAGGTGAATCTCATTTTTCCCCATTACAAAAGTAAAATGGTTTTGAATGTTTTAAAGACACATGTTCTAATTTCTGGATATTATAATATCTTAGAAATGTGGCCAGAACATGAACTGCGAATTGGCTCATTGATAGAGGTCTCTTTAGTGACACGAGAGCAGTACCAAAATAAAAACCATCATCATGGGTCTGATTTAACAGTATGAGGTTCATATTTCCCTGGCAGGGAATATTTGCTTCTTTTTGGCAAAATAATTAAGTAAACATTTAAGAGCTTACTATGCGAAGATAGTATACTCAGTTCTAAAATTTGTAAGCATAGCATGATATGTAGGAGAGACCACAGCTCCTTGCAGTTAATAACAGACCTTAGTTTCACGCCTTGGTCTCCTAGTTACCATGTGATGGCTGCTTTTCTCGACTTTCGGAAGGCATTGGTTTCTTCTTCTGCAATTCTTGTGTTCCACCACTAAAATGGATTGAGATATGTTTCTTTTACCGGAAAGTATTTTTCTCAATTAGAAAGTTCTATACATCTTTTGTTGCCTAGCAGTCAGCTAAAGAGTGCATTCAGCCTATGAGAATTATAAGACTTCAGAAACCATCTGTTATGATTACCCCACGATTTTTGTGTTTTGTTTGTTTGTATTTTCATTTTTGTGAACCTTCTAGTTGTTTTGACTTTATTTGGGGTACATATCTTAGTGTATAATAAAGTCGGATGTTTCATGTAATGAACTTAAATGCAGCAGGATTTTGTGGTGGTCTCTGGAGTGCAGCCAGGACTGGGTTTGAGAAAGGATGAGCATGAGCCCTCATGGATTTAATAAAATTATTCTTTCTCTAGTATATGTAATAGGCTCAGATACCAGCAAAAGATAGAAGAAGACATCAAATAAAGGGCACATGTCTATTATAGTCGCCCCTAGTTTCCTTACGTGGGAACATGTTTGATAGTTGGTCATGGTTGTCAGCTTATCTAAAGAAGCCTCAAGCTGTTCTAAGTCTTGGTTTCCCTAGTCACTGACGCTGAAATTCAAATGCAGTTAACTAAAGTGAGTACAAACACCCCTTCAGCAGTCCCAGTCACCTGGGTCTAAAATCTGGGTTCTGGGTTGAATTTCATACTGAGCCTCTGTTTCATTAGACATCAGCCAGGTGCAGCTGCATTGTGATTATGAAGCAACAGCTATTCTGGGGTGTATGTGATGGTTTATCTGCTGCACCGTGACTCCCACATCCCTCAAGAGCACCTGAGTCAAATGCTTTTGGGGCTTTGGGACTAGATAAACTTTTAGATCCCTTTCATCTTTTAGCTTTTGGGTTATAACATGGGGAACACGAGATTCTTTTGGATTTCCTTAAGCAACATCTAGTGTTTGGTTTCTATGATTATTTAGGAGAGCGAACTAACCAACACCTCAAGGAAACCATTTTGAGATGTTAATGCCTGGCATGTGAATTATATATAAAGGTTGAGTTGAACCAAGCATCTGGGGAGTGGGGAGAATATGTTGGGACATGGAGGTTGCAGAGTTACAATGAGACACAAGTAGATGATATAGGAAATGCCAATAAAGGAGTTTTCTTTTACCTTTAATTCAAAGAAGGAATATTCTGCTTTTGTCCTGATGGGGTATGAATAGCATCTAATGCAGCAGGAAACGGACTATGTTCAGCTGCTTCACTACTGCCAGGGAACCTTAGGTTACCAGAGAACTTCCAACTGAGAACTCCCAACCCTCTCTAGACAAAGAATTGAGACTTGTCATGAGCTGTAATAACAGTACAGTAGGTGATTACACGGTTAACATTAGCCTTAGACACTTCCCAGCCTGCCTTATAACAGGTAATTTTTATGTCTTTGCTACTTAGCATGATCCTCAGTCCAGCACTGCTTGCATCACCCAGGCAACTTGTTGAAAAGGCAGAACCTGGGCTCCACTCTAGATCTACTGAACCAAGATCTGCTTTCCAACAAGATGCCCAGGCAATACAAACATTAAAGTTTTGTTTTTGTTTTTGAAACAGAGTTCACGCATGTTGCCCAGGTGCAATGGCGCAATCTTGGCTCACTGCAACCTCCGCCTCCCTGCTTCAAGCAGTTCTGCCTCAGCCTTCCAAGTAGCTGAGATTACATGCACCTGCCAACATGCCCGGCTAACTTTTGTATTGAATGTTAAAATTTGAGAAACACTGCCTTATCAATGTAGTCTGTAATGTTTTTACATGGTACTGGTAATTATCATCAGGTGTAGTCAATTACAGCACCATAAGCCTCAAATCAATACAAGATTGATTTTTCAAAGTGGGTAGTTAAGTATCTCTTGTTTCTGCTAATGTGCAAGACTTCCATTTCTAGTGTAAGTGTTCTGTGGCATCTTCCTAACTTATGTTAAATTTCAAGTTAAAATTTAATAACAAATACATTATCTGTGATTTAAAGAGTGGTATATTTATGTAGTCCTTTTATTTCACCCTTTATTTCTTTTGATTTTCTGCAAATTTATGTGTACTAATATTCTATTTCCCATTATGTCTCAACACATATACTAAGTATTTTATTTTCCAACTACACAGCTTCCTAAAGCAACTATTTTGAGAACTGAGAAAAGAGACAGGTAGAGATAGTGTTTGAATGGTGGTTCACAAAACCATGAATCCCATTTTTAGTTGCTAAATCTTTTGAAGAAACATTATATAGGTTGGTGCAAACATAATTGCAGTTTTTGCCATCACTTCTAATGGTTTTGTCATTACTTTTAATGGCAAAAACCGCAATTACATTCGCACCAACCTAATATTTTTAGCTGATGTTAATGACATTATTATAGCCAACTGAGCACATTCTGTTTTCTCTGTTGGGGTGTGATGCATCTGTATTTACTATATTAATTCCTTTCAGCCAAAGACCAACAAAACACACTTATAATTGAACATATTTACATTTATTTACTTATTACAACAATGGAGAACACAGCCCGTGAGAAACTGGGGGATCTCTTAGAAGATGTTAGAAAAAACTTACTGTAAGATTTTGTCTTGTGTTCAGTGACTGAGGGAAGTGTCCAAGGCAGTAAAGCTTTGCTGTGAATTGGTGCAGTCAGAAATGGGAGTCATTCTGTGATTGAATGTCCTCATAATTCTTAAATAAAAGGCAAGACCAGCAGAGGGAAGCTAAAGCTGTGACTGGTGGGGAAGCCACATCTACTCTTATTAGCCAGAAGGTGGGGACGGTAACATGTGTGCTCTGGATGATGATCATGCTTTTGTCTGTGTGCCACGTGATTATAGACAGGTTCTTTTGTCTCGATCCGTCAGGATCACAGAGTTGTCTTGTCTGATACTGGTGTCCTTTAGAATTGTTGGTGTTCAACAGGAGAGCATCACAGCCTCCCTGTGGGTACCAGACCAACGCCTGGATGTTAGGGGCTGCTTTTCTCTTTAACAACCATTAAATTAGATTTGTCATACTTTTTGTAAAGTTTATTTTGCTTTACTGTTTTCTGGATTTGTTTTCAACTTATTCTGTATCAGAAAATCAGAACGTGTGTGCTCAAAAAGATTTCTGAACCATTCTTAGATATGAAAGACTATGAAAATTCTAACTTACACACTGAATATTGAAATTCCTAGGTCATTTCATAGTTTTTGGCAATGGTGGGACAGGATATTTGAAGTTTGGAATATCCCAGGAAATCTAAGATGTGTAGTCATCAAATATATTCTTCCTGCTTTCAGCCTATTTGTCCTAATTTTTCATTAGTGCTGCGTTTTGTGATTTCATTATTTGGAATTGCATTTTGTACTTGGCAAATCTAACTTTCCTTAACACATATAAAGGTAATCAAGAAAATATGTTCTATAATTATGTATCAGAATATAAAATTATTTATAAATTTTGTATGGAAAGGAAGTCGGCCACACTTTAGAAAACTTAACTGCTTGTGTCAATATTTCAGAAAAGGTCAGTCTTTCTGATGATGTAATAAAATTGGTTTTATGTTTTATTGGAAAGTAGCCAGTTAACTATAATCTCGGTGTTGTTAAGGAGAAGCTCTAGAAAAGTTATCAATATCTTCCGCTCAAATGAATTGTCAAGTGCATGTACGTACACGTGCTTGTCAGACCATTTCTCCACTGGAATACAGTAATTTGTGTTTGCATAGCAATTTTCTTCTAGAAGATTCAAGGGGCTATTATATACCATCGTACTGAGACTTCCAACGTCCCTAGAAACTGTCACTTATTTTCTTTTATCTTAAGGTAATACAAGAGGAACTTAACTCTGAATGGGTTAGAAGAGGAAAAATTAGCTGCGTTCATTTCTTTCCTAATCTTTTATTCAGTAAACCACTCCGAGTTAAAAGTAAAGCAATGACATGTAGCTTGAAAATTTGAGAACAGCTTTTACAACTGAGGAAATCAAATGTTATTACTGGGGCCATGTGCCTTCCAGATATGGTATATAGTAAATACCACTTTTTCTGTGAGAGGCCAGCCAGTCCCTGAAGCTTATTCTCACTGTGATTGGGATCAGAGCTCTGTGAGCTCTAAGGTGAGACAGCTAGGTTAATAACCAGCTCAATTACCAGTTAAACAACTTGTTCCATCTATAAAATGGAAATAAGGTATAAATTTCTCACCAGGTGGTTATGTCTTAAAAATGATATATAAATTACTTAATATAATGCACAATATATAAAGGGGTGCCTTGTTTTTATTTCCTTAATACAGTGAAATCTGGCATTGACTGCCACCCCTTCACTTCATACTGTTTATCCCAACTTCCTGAATTGCTACATACAATCAATAATAGCAATTATGTTTTCAAATTATTTAACAAAAGAGGAGGAGAGAAGGAAAAC